TGGGCATGAGTCATCACAATGGAATGCAGGGCATCAACCAATAGGCATGCAGCTTTCCTCTATACTTCTTGCTGATTGGCTGTTGGGATTTAACTTGATTAACACCTGCACAGAGCATTTCCACCTGCACAGAGCATTTCTTGCTGATTGGCTGTTGGGATTTAACTTGATTAACACCTGCACAGAGCATTTCCATACTGACAGTATGTCTTTATTCAAGTGTTTTGGTAGGTATTTCAAGCTTTTCTGCTCCAGCATTGGAATGCGGGGCATGAGCGTTTTTTTTATTTTGAAAATCAACAGTTTGCATTATGCAATTAAAAATCCTAACCAATAAAGTAGGGAATAGCTATCCAACTGTTGTTTTAGTTGTATGTTACTTCATATTATAGTTATATCAATGTTATATCACACTGCTCTGTTCTCCTGCCCGCACTGTGAGCGCCGGTTCCGGGCGAAAATTGGACTCTACAGTCACCTGAGGACACACCCTACTACAGAGGGATGACAAAGCGGTCCTCGTCAACCTGACGGACGAACGACATATCAATGTAAATCATTGTTTTCCCTTGTGTTTCTCATTCTTTCCCTGCCATGTCGTAAAATGTGGTGAACCCATCGCTGTATTTGCTCCAAAGCAAATATTGGCCTTTCTAGTATTTACTATTATATTTTATATTTATATATATTTTGAATTTGTAAGTCATGTAGAGGTGCACATTATAATATATGTGTGTATGGAAACTGTGGCATCATTTACATCACAAACTATTAGGTAGAGAAAATGTTTATGAAGGTATTGCTATTGGGTTGTGGATCTCTTGTTTAAATTTTTTTTATTGCAATTCAAAACTTCAAAGGAGAATGCTGTGGAGCTGAACATTCAATAATTCTTTAGGCCAAAGACTTTACAACAAAACCATACAAATTAACAATTACCTCAAAATGCATGCCTTCCTTCTTGAGACGTTGGTATAAGTCCTCATCATCCAAGACATGATATCCATGGCCAATACGCTCTGCATGCATCTCTGTCACTGCCTAGGAAATTAACACATACCAAACTTATGTTGGTTTCAGCATAAATATTATTACACATTTTGTACAAGCCTTGCTATAGCACATTGATTGATCAAACTTTGGTTACCAATATGTATATATATATGTACATGCTGTAGTATATAACAAAATTTCATACTCTAAAGGACAGCTGTGTCTCACAGCAGAACAGGATCCAATGTTGCCATTGCCAATAAGATTTCTGTTTTTGGATTGTGAGTTGATTTTGTTTGTGACCTTTCAAGTCCCACAAGCTATTCATGAGGATGTTGTGGGTGTGTGTATTAGGAATCATAGAAACACAGTCTGCAACTTTACCTCCTCAACTATTTCTGGCCCTCCGACCTCCCCTGCATGAATTGTTCGATGGACTCCAAGCCTTTGGGCATCCTGAAAACAAACAGAAACCTTATCAGAAGAACAATAAAAGAGTTACCCAAAAATTGACTTTGACAGAAGAATTGTGCCAATTCAAAGTACAGTGTACATGTAAGACTACAAAAGAAAATAAAAAAACAAAATATTTGTATATGCATGCTGCTATTTTTTCAAAATATTTCCTGTCAACCCTTGTACAAATGTACCTGTACAAATTGTTAATGACAGATTGTGTTACCTGGAAGGCCTTGATATGAGGTAGGTTTGCATCTTCTTTGTATCCAACCTTCCCTCCTGCCAGGTCCAGCCCCACCACACCATCACTGCTGTACTTCCCACATAGTTCCACCATCTCATGGGACCACTCTGGACAAAAACATAGTGTCATTTAAAGACCTCATTTTAAAAGTTCATCTCTGTTGATAGAAGTCATTACAAAGCAAGCGTAAGACCCCGTTCATACCAGACTTTCAAAAACCTGTT